ACAACATACCTCGTTAGTTGTGGTGAAGTTCTGATTACTGCTATCGAGAGCTAATAAATGCGATAAGCGACAGACGGTAATACACGTGTGTATCGGTCGACTGTAACACACGTACTGAATAATAATACTATTAATGTATAAAAAATGTACAATATATTTTATAATAAAAAAAAAATAAATATATCGTCAAAGGTAGTCTTTGTCTTCACTACTGCTACAATAATTGCTGTCGTTGGGGTCGATTGTTAAAATTATGTGTTTCAATATGCAATCTTTGAATCTTTCTTTTTCAAAATCTTTATTTTTTTGTAGTTGTTCTGCATATCTTATACATTTTTCCCAATTTTCTGTGGTAACTGCATCTATAGCTTTGTGCAAAAGTTTTTCGACGTCGGCTATTTTAAACGTTGTATTTTTGGTTGCAACTTCACCTTTTACCTGCGCCCAAATTAATTCAATCGGGTTGTATTGGCAGTGATAAGGCGGAAGTCTGATTACTTCATTCCCCGTTTGATATGCCAACTCATCCAACTGGTATCGTTTTTCACGCAGTTTTGGCATTTTTACTTTTTCTCTTAGTTCCACCAAGGTGTCTGGAGGAGAAAAATTGATGCCATTTTCGGTTTTGAACATCGGATATTTTTGTATTTGATTTCGGCACATTCTCTACTAGTACGCTGTGATATGGTTCATTATCCATAACAATGACACTTGGCTCGTCCAATAGTTGCAGCATATTTTTAAACTAGTCATGAAATATTTGAATATTCATCTATGAGTGGTAGTCACCGTCATTTTTACTCCGGAAAATTAATTTTGAGCCACATATGAATCCAAATTTAGCTACTCCAGCATGGCATACAATCAGACGACAGCCTTTACCGGTTGGCACTTTAAATCCTTCACTATCCATATCGTTTTGCCAAATATAGTTTCTTGAATGGTTCTGGTTTACCCAAGTCTCATCTAAATAAATGACAGGCCTCGTGTCACCACTGGAACGTAAATTACACATTTTTCTCAAAAATGTGTTTCGGAGTGCCACGATATCGTTCCGTTCCATTAAAAATTTACGTCCATTGCAACACTTTTTGTATTTGAAGTTCAAGGAACGCAAAATCCTCTGTACTGATGACTTTGATCCTTCAAAGTTAATTTTTTTCCTCATGGATTCACAAATTTTTTGAGATGTTGGATATTCACCTATAATAATGTTTTTATATATTATAGTTTCTATTTATATGTAAAAGTGACAAACATTTAAAGATTATATTTTTATATTTTCAGTTAAAAATGCGTTATATATTTAATATGAGGTAGATTGTGGGTAGGATATTATATATGTTTTCTTATAATAAAAAAAATATTTTAAATTAATCCAATTACCTTGGTAATAAAATTCATGAACAGTTCTTCTGACCACGTCAACGTTGAAATCATCAATATCTGTCATAACCTTCTTCCGTTTAAACGATTTCCTCGGTGACACGAATAGGCTTCTTGGTGTTGATGTATCATCGTTTTCATATTATTTTACTTCAGCAACAATATTTTGTATACTTCGTTCACTTATTCCACACGCTTCGGCAGTAATTTTTTGAGTTTTTTTAAAAAACTCAGCAGATAAATTTTCCTTAGTGGGTAATTTTTTTAAAAAAACGTATACCCGGTAAATTACTTTTTTACTTTGACTGTGAATATCATGGTATGTAAAAGTCGCCATTTCAAAAACACGTGATCAAAAATTGTAGGTATGCACAGCTTAATTTACAATAGATTACAGTACCGAACGCGCCAAGAGTCAACAAAAGACAGGGACATTTTGAAAGGTGCAGGTTAGTTGTTTTTTTCAAAACGTATAGTACCCGTCGCACCAGTGACGCGTACCTGTGATGGATCAAATATTGAGGCCCACTGGTTTATAGAAAACCGACACACGGTGCGCTGCGGTTATCCGCATGTTTTCGTGACGCATACTGTAGTATATCAGAATCAACAACCACTTCTTATGATAAAAAAAAAAATATCAGTAATTTAATAATAAATTATGTTGACGTTATTAATAAAAATTGAAAATCTTGATAATAAATCCTGGCTTTTTGTAGATAATTATCAAACCTACTAAAATACATATGTTAATGCAACATTTATAATTTTCTTGATATTTTCATCGTATAATAGACATATTTGTCTATAAGATTAAATCGTTATCACATATATAGGTATTATCAAGAAATTTATATTTAAGAAAAAGTTGTGCACATTGTAATGTGCCTGGGAACTGAAAGGGTTAAAGTCTGTTAATTGTTTTATAATTTGCTGGTTAATATCTTTAATATCATAACAACCTGTTTTTAGCGTAATAAAATATATTTGAAAGCATTTTCATTCTCATTTATTACTTGAATTGTAAATTTGTTATTTTCCGAATTAATATTTGGAAATAAATTGAATGATTGTAAACATAATAAAGCTATTTCAGAGTTCTTATACACGTTTAGAGTTGGAAAATAAGTTAGTCAATGTAATATCATTCCCATTTAAGCTTAGAGTAATTGATTCATTTATCTAAAAAATGAATATCAAAATCTATGACGTTTAATATGTAGAACTACGAGTATGTTCAATGTTTCACCGAAATCATAAATTGGTTTATTATCCTGATCAACTAATTGAATAGTTATTAAATTAATATTTGTTTTATACAGTATATAATATACAAGGTTTAGCGATGATTCAATCATCTTTGTTTCTACTTCCCTTCTCGGGAAAAACTCGTAAATCGAACGAGTTTGAATGCGATTACTGAATGATCCTTAAGAAAAATTACACATCACTTTTAGACAGTTAACTGTGTTTAAATTTACAGCTTTTTTTCGATCAATAAACATCATTAGATTCATAATATTTTTGTTTTCCAAACCCTAATACAGAGCTAATATTGTTTGGAACACTAAAGCCTAGTGTTCCGTTACACTTTATAACCGATCTAAAATTGATAGGATCAAGACTTACATCAAATGTTAGAACAGTTTGATTGGTTTAATTGAAGTCTAACAACGGTTTTCTAATTTTATTGTTAATATCCGAAATGTTATAATATCCTTTTGGAAAATAAAATGAAAATCAGTTATCATAATACTCTATGTCTTTCCTATTATTTGATGAATTTATGTTTGGAAATGAATTGAACGTTTGTAAACATAATAAAGCTATTTCTGAGTCTTGGTTAGCGTTTAGAGACGGAAAACCTATTTCCATTAGCAATTAATTAATGTAATGATAATTACTCGGCCGCAACTCACTTGTGGCTAAGATATTGTCGGGTCGCAACTTACCCTCAGCCAATTACATTATAGACTGTATTTTTACACGACGTAGTTGGTCAAAGTTTACAAACGTGACCAAAATTTGACGCTGTGAGTCGACTTCGACGTTCAGTATGCCAAATTTGTGAATTGGCGTGATTTCTTGTTTTTTTCTTCAATGGCTAACCGTTCGTGTTTTTTCAATCGTAAAGCATTTATGAAATTTTTTTCGTTTTTTCTAGTACTTCTTTTAAAATATTATCTTCCGGTAATGGTTCAGCTAAACCATAATGTTGATCAGGGCCACTATTACACCTTTTTTACCGAATTTCCAAAAAAAAAGAAGTTTTTTAGATTTTGCTGACATCTTTTCTTTTCACTAAATGCAAGATATTTTATCCCTAGTTCCCCTAAAGTAAAAACATAAATATGTAAATAATTTAAAAATCTTTAAAAAAAACACACACAACGAATGTTAAAATGATTTATGAACATCAATAAATGATTTAAAAAATGACTTGATATTTTTAAATATTTACATTTTACAAAATGTTAAACTTAAAATGTAACGTACGTTTTATAGGTATATAATTTTTTTTTTTAGAATAATAATAAATGTCATTTTATTTACCGGGACTTATTTTATCGACCACATTTTTATGCATTAACCGTAGAAACTTTCCACCTGAGTTGCATAATATAACCGCAGCTTCAACTCGAGCATTATATGAATTTCTTTAGGAATAATTTATTCGTTTACTCGTTAAATATTTATTCATTACACTATTGAATTATTCACATACGTTGTTGACAACATACATCAGTAAACCATCAACATTTGCTATTAAACGAGATATTAATTAGGATATATCTCTCACAAGCCCTGATCTTTCGGCATCTTCGATCATATTTTTTTCATTTCCTTGCGAACCCTTACAAAAGTATGATTCACATCGATTATGGGCTCCTAAAATTTGTGGAAAACTGTTATATATATCCTGTCGTAATCCTTAAATAATATGTGTATATAATATTATAATACTATAATTGTGTTAATTTATAATGTTATGTTATTAAGCTAATGAGATTTAAAAAATGTCTGCTGCTAGATTACATATTTCTTCAAAATTTCCTCTTAAGGCTAGATTATTATTTGCACAATAAAGTAACACATCTAATATTATTTTTAAAACATGTCTCCACTTTTCTTGTTCTGATATTATTTCTTTCTGTAAGGATTCATCAATACCTCCTCCTTTTATTACTTTATTTTCAAGCATTTTCCATTCTAAAAATGTTTTATGTGGTCTTGAGAATCTTCATGTTCTTTAAGCGCTCCATTTTTTTCCAACTCGAAAAACCTCTTTTGGGATCACTTAAAGCAGTAAATTGTTTACCAAATAATATACAACAAAAGCAAAAAATTGTATCATTTGGTTGAGAATACATCATCCATGACCTTTCATCACTTTTTCCATTAGATAATTTTTTGTAAAACCAATGGTTTTTAAAAGGCTTATTTTCTATTTTTCCACGATCTGGGCCATGTTGAACAAGTATGCATCTTAACTTGTCATTTATAGTTGGCCACGATTGAGAATTATTAAATATTATTTCAGGAGGTTTTAACACATTTATTTCTTCATCAACAAGTGATTGTTTTTCAACTATACCATGTGATAAATCATGATCAACTAAAATATTTTCATCCAATTCTACAGGTATTCCTTGAAAACTCAATTCATTGGTATTTGATGCTTGTTGTACTTGACTACAACCACTTTCAATTTGAATTTGAATAATTTCATTTATTTTTTGAATTTCAGAAGCCCCATCTTCTAATGAATTGATTTCATTTTTAACATTGAACCATTTTTTTAGATTTCTCCCATTGTGTTGCTAGTTCTTTAGCTTCTGGTTCTTTTTGTTTCAGAAATAGGAACTCGGTGGTCTTTTTAACATGTTGAGCTTTAAAAATTAATAAGATAAAGAAAGGAGTTTAATAAAAAACTTAAAATAGTTAAAACTTTAAATATTTAAGTATAGAAATGTATCACAAAATGTATATAATAAATGGAATGGCCGCATACATTTTGTAACAAATAAATTAAGAAAAATAATGTATGCATTTAACATTTAACAGATATCTTAAAATTTAAGAAACAAAATAAACAAACATGTTCAGTGGGACTCATTATCTTCTTGAAGAATAAATAAAAATAAAAAATAAAATAAATTAAGTTTCTTTATAAATTATTGCATTATTATATGATTAATATGTAAAACATGATAATTATTAATAAACGATCTGACTTCAGTTAAACATCAATAGGATAGTAGGTATTTTTGTTTTAA